CGTAATTCGATAGTCTTCAATTTCAAACCCTTGTACTCATTATTGATACATTCGATTGAGCCCGAAACGGATTCACCAGACCAGAATACATTCTGACTTTTCCCAGGAAATCGACATATGATATTCGATTTTAATTTACTACTACTCGAGTCTATTAATATTAACATAAGAAACAAATATTGATCGAGATCACTCAGGAACATGTCGAACATATTGTAATTCAAACAACAGAGCCAACTTTTACTCTTTATGGATCCTTAATGTCGTGCATTAAAAGAGAAGTTACAAAATGGTAAGGTCGTTCTTTCGATAAGTCAAAGTATCGATACGGAAAAGGTCGACGGTCTTGAAAATAACAAAAAAATGAATTGAATGCAGACTAACATATTCATAGAATTACGCCTAACACAATTTGGTCTATGGCATTACAAAACTATCAATTTTTCTCTCAAGTCGATCAATGAGCTGAAATTTTGAAACTGGGCAACACGAACAGAAAAATTTTCTACAACTTCTTTGACAAACTTATTGGAATTATATGGAAAAAGCCATAAGAAAGGACGAGAGCCGAAATTCTCGATTATCCAAAAGTAAACGTGACCATGGTAGAATTGTAGAATACTATCGACTTGATAATGTCATATGTTTTCTAACCCACAATATTGCAAAACAAATTGTGTTAAGCGTAATTGTATCAATATGTCAGTTTGCATCTAATTCATTTTTTGCCATTTTAAACACTGTCGACCTTTTTCATATCGATATTTTGACTTATCGATAGAATGAATTCACCTTTTTGCAATTTCTCTTCATCTTCAAAGAAAGTAAATCTTAAAAACAGTCGCATATTTCTTTAAAAAGAAATAATTTTTTTTATCAAACGAAAGTAAAAAAAAATCGAATGCCTTTCCTGCTGATTGTGATATAAATTATCAGATCATTAAAAATTTGAACACAATAATGCACACTTAATCAAGTATTTTTTTGCAGATAAAAGCACAACGACTATAACGATACTTTTTAGCGTTAGCACTATTGCGGCGCATAGAGTGTTTGAATATATTACGACACTTAGCGTTGCTATAGCGGCGTTAGTTAAAAAAAAACGACATGGGTTCTGCCTATAGAACTTCGCAATACTTTTTACTACCAATAAAACCATATCTTTCTGCACATTATTACTTCTTGAGACATCTACTTCAACTTTTTTTCTATTGGTTTATGAATATATTATTCAACGATCAGCATAATAATAAAAACATCGTCTATAGATTTGATATACATGTCTTGCGTTATTATAAAGATAAGAAAAGCAAATAAGTGATTAACTTGCTTTCTTATCAATCCAGTGACAAATTTATATCTGCTGATAAACTGTGTAGTATGTTAACAGTCAAAGTGATGTGTGCCACTTACAATATAAGAGAGCATGTATTGTCAGACACTAAGCTTTTCTTTTGGAAAAAATTGAATGATTTGTATTGAACATTTCATGTATCACTAAAATCGAGTCAACATCTTTTAGATCTGATCACCAGTGAGATTTTAGATCTAAAGTGGATATGTTTCGTCTCCATTTTTTTAGATTATCATATATCTATAACTCATGCCGAACCTGAAATCAGTTTGATGGATGTGAACTGCTGCCATGAAGAAGACTATTGTATATTAATTAATGAAAAACGTTCTGTAAGACAGGCCGAAGCTAAAGATATTAAGAGACACTTCATGGGAAACTCGAGCAACGGCCATACAGGCCATAACATGATTTTTTGCAACATATCCTTTTTTTAATTTCATTCGATTCTACATGAAAAACTATTGTTATGAAAATTTTTTTTAGACCTGGATACCTTATATTCACGGAGTTATAGCCATTTTACGATAAGCACCCCTGAAAACATCGAATTTTCAGTAATTTTGACTTTTTGAAGTCAAATTACATCGAATAATGTCGGGCAACATCTCATTTGAAAGAGCGTAAAAAACTACATCGATCGACATGTTTGACATTTCTCAACTATTTGGCTCTTCTAAAAAATTTTTATTTTTCGAAAAAAAACCTGACTTTGTTTTTAAGAAATTTTTGAGTATTTCTTTTTTTAATGGCTGCTTTTAAGTTAACCAAAAATTTGACTACTGGCTCTTGTAGAGCATTCAATTCTGCACAAAATGAGCTAACTCTCAAAGTTTCAAATGGTGAGCAACAGTTCGAAAGGACGGGGGCCATTTTCACCACAAATCGGCCCAACGAAATTGTTTCAACAGATTGCTCAGGAAACTATATAGATCGATAGATTTCATTGCGCTGAACATTTTGGCGCTATTTCCGATACACACTAATAGTGTTTTTCATACTCATTCTAAGTTCTCTTTATACGGCATTTTCTGCCATTTTTCGACAATATACCTTTCAGACCACAGATCTATTTATTCATATACAAGTGACTTGCACTAGCTCAAATTATGTCAAAATGTAGAGAAACTACGCCACTCTCAAGATATACCGATTTGATAAACACTTAATAAGTATATGGTATGAAAGCATCATGAGTCTTCCAATTATTCAGCATTTTATCACTCATAAACACTACCGTTGAACTCAATATTTTGACAATATCTTGAGAAAAGCAAAATACCTGTTCGTGATTTTTTTACCATAAGTAAACATAAGTCATATCTTCAAAATGACCCGAATATGTAAAGTGCACAAAGTTTGCCAATTTTTTTATTCCGGACATCAATAGCCAAAATGAGGTGAAAATCACGACTTATGACCACTATTTCGACAATATCTTGAGAAAAGCAAAATACCTGTTCGTGATTTTTTTACCATAGATAGAGACAAGGTAGATCTTCAAAATCACCCGAATATGTCAAGTCCGCGAGGTTGGCCAATTTTTTATTCCCGACATCAATAGCCAAAATGAGGTGAAAATCGCCCTTTTTGACCACTATTTCGGGAAAATCTTGAGAAAAGCAAAATACCTGTTCGTGATTTTTTTATCATAGATAGAGGCAAGCTAGATCTTCAAAATCACCCGAACATGTCAAGTCCGCGAGGTTGGCCAATTTTTTATTCCCGACATCAATAGCCAAAATGAAGTGAAAATCACGACTTATGACCACTATTTCGGGAAAATCTTGAGAAAAGCAAAATACCTGTTCGTGATTTTTTTACCATAGATGGAGACAAGGTAGATCTTCAAAATCACCTGAATATGTCAAGTCCGCGAGGTTGGCCAATTTTTTATTCCCGATATCAATAGCCGAAGTAGGGTGAAAATGACTATTTACGAGCCACTCCACGTAAGTGACGAAGGATTCTCTGATACAGTGCTCAATGAATATTCTTGGGTTTGCCTCAATCTCATATAGATGTGATACAAGCAATTGTTTTATGAGATTTCACGGAAGCCATTTGAAGAAACATTGAAGCATTTGTTTCTCACCGTACTTATACTGGAAGCACTCTAAAATGGTCGAAAACTTCATTTTCACGAGTAGGGATTCTGGACATCGTGAAAAACGAAGAAAATATTTACCGTTTTAACGGAAAATTTCACGATATTGATACCCAACTAAGTTGTACAACTTTCGTATATTTCAGTTCTAATCGACGCTCTGTTAGTGTCTTATGTATTCCACAAAATCAGAAAAGAAGAAGTTTTCAACAAAATCGCTTTGCTTATATCTCTTAATTAGAAAATGATGGAGAGTGGAGATTTTGAATATAAGTATATCTTGATAATATCTAACTTCCGTATACGTTTCAGACCTCTGTGGGAAAGCTTTCATATGAATCAAATAGAACTATAGATGAATTTTTCGTCAAAACCGCAGTTTTTGACCTGCACTCTCTCCGAAAATATCAGTTTATGTTGAGGCGACATATCTAGTATAAAAGCGTTTATATTGCTGTACAATTTATTATTGAAATCAACGTGGACCGTTCTTGAACCATGAAGTAATCAATCGATATNTATGGAACATTCGTTATTTACATTTTACAGCTTTTTGTATATCTTTAGTTTTCGTCTTTTTTCAAATATACCTAAAACTATTTTTGAGCCTAGTCATCTATGGTTTTGTAGAGAATTTTAAGCGCTATCTTTTGATAATAATGAGAGCTTTACTTACAGTGATAATAGACAGGAAATCTTAAAAATACTGGGAGGCTCATTATTCCTGGGACACCCGATATATATAATTATGTGTTCATGTCAGAGATCGAAATATTTGTTTCGATTCAGACCATCCTGAAGAAAAGAGAGTCTTTTCGTTGTAATTAGTAAAATTTGTCTACATCCCGCATAAAATTTTACTTCAGTTTTCGTGTGTCGATATGCTAAATTTCTCGAATTAGAAAGGTTTGGAAGCTACAGTATATATTAGGACTTGGGTTTTATAAAAAGATATGTTGTTTCTTTTTTATGAATTAATGAAGGTAGTAGTTTGTGAGTTTGCATACTTAACGCTGCTTTAGTTACCATCTGTTTGGAGAAAGACGCAGATATTAAGAAAATGAATATACAAATTTCTAATTTCAGTGGAAGTCTATATTCAATTTCCAGATCTGCACTGCAATTAATAATCCTTAAACTTGGTTGAATCGATTCCACGACCTTTGTCCTTGAAAACTTCGAAAATAATCATGGCAATAGCTGCACATAGGTCTGCGTCCTTTAAAATTATCTATCTTAAAATAAATCAATAGAAATTGACTTCTCTAAATGCAATACAAGCAATCATTGACCTAGTAGATGTCTGACACAAAGAACATACGTCCTACAGTGAAGTGAGCTTTATCGCTCATGTTTGAGATTTAATGAAGAGATTGCTGTCAAGCCGAATAAAGAGGATTAGATTCGATTCGTTTCGATTTCGATCTCTGAGTTCATGTAATATCAAGATATTTTTATTTTCTTAATAATAGAATTTCATTTTAACGAACAAAAAAACCTTCATACAACAAATAAGTATTGATATTGATGTGTTGATTAAGTAAGTCCAAGTATAGATTGCATTAATGAATGAAATTGATAACAATCTGAACTTTGTCGTACAGAATTCATCATTGTAACCATTAATAGTTGATAACGTAAAATTTGCATAACTATTATTTGCATTATTTGTATTGCTTCTTTTTCATCAAATAAATAATTTAAATAACGCCAAAGAATATTTGTATAAAAATTTTGAAATTCAAACAGTATTCTCTTATTTTTATATTGATAAGATTGATTAATATCGAACGATGCCGATAAATTAATACTGAAGATAAAAACAACTAATGCAAGTTTTAATAGTAATGAACAATTCATAAAACGATAGAAATATCGACGTGTTCGTAATATTTGATAATCAAAATCTTTACTGATCCATTTAGATATACGTTTATCAAGATTTGAACAATCTTGAAAGTTATATACTATCACATGATGTAAATGTATAATATTAATAAAATTAGATTTGATTAACAGAATTTGATCATTCATATCTAATTGTCTAAATTCAGGTATAGATTTAAAAAAAGTGTATTAATGATTCATGCATAACAGTTTCATTATTGATAAACTGCGAAAGAGTTGTCGATGATGTATATTTATTAATATAAGAATAATCATTTTTATCCACTATTGATTGATAAACATTATTTATATTATTTAATAATGTTCGATCATCATCATATAGAATATGATTATAACCAAAATAATGCATTTTATAAATCTAGAAGAAGAACAGAAAGATTATTATTATTCGATTATTTGTATTTACTGGATATGTAATAACTTCTTGGCTTGTTGATTTTATCATTAAACGTTTTTTCTTTCGTACAACTGTTGGAAGAGTGATAAGAGATTGTTGATTATTTGATGGGTCAATCATATTCAATTGTTCTTTTGCTAATTTTAAGAAATGTCGTGCTTTTTTTTCTTCTTCCGTAAGAATCAATTCTTTACACATTTTAATATCAAAACACTTTTTTAATCGACAATATGCACATTGACGACGTGTATTAATATTAATAATACAGTTGCCAGAAAGCTGACATCTTAGCTGAGACTGAAAAAGACAATTATTGTTGAGTTGTCATTTACTTGTAATTCGAAAATTTTCAGATAGAACTTTTAGACTTTTGGATTTATTAATTATCTGTGGGCTCCGTAATTTTGTCAACACATTTTCTGGTATTAAACTATTTTGACTATGAATTGGATGCAGATTAAAACTCCTGTCGACTAGGTTGATAGATTATGTTCATAGACATAAATTTTTCCATGTAATCTCAGATAATAATTGTTCGATCAATGTCTGTCACAATTCGTGCTTCTGCATTACATTTCAGCTTGCTGAAGAAACACCATTGTCAGCTAAGCCAGTGGATGATAAGTGGTGTGTAGCTATGATCTCGTTTTGTTCATATTCTAACACATGTAAAATGTTAGCTGTGATAAATATGTATTCGAACAATATTAGCATCAGCCTTCACATGTATCCTATATGAATATTATTTCGTTACGGCTTGCAAAAGTGTTATTTGTGATTTTCAACTATTCATTATTTATGACGTGATTATTAATCATTTATTAATATTTAAGTCCGATGTAGTGTTCCTACTTGCTTTTTAGTACATAGAATTAGAAATATTTGACATTAAAGAGAAACTATATCCAACTGTTGAATGTCAATCGAATTCATAATTTATGCATATTTACAACTTGGCGAGGCTGTTTAGTATTAGTTCAGAAGGATTCAACCACATACCCTAACCTTTCAAAATTGTGACTATTTGATTCAATATTCAATGTCAGACAAGCTACCTAGTTAAAGATTGCGTGACACAGATATGATCTAAAATATTATCCATGAATAGGTCTCACAATTACTAGATTGTTCTTGAAATTTCATTTGAAAAAGCAAGATTTCTAGTGTAGATGTTGATTGATAAAAGAACTTTCATATCGCATTTTCAGAGTAGCCGAATAATAATAAAACCTATTCATGGGCACAATTTCAGATCAAATCTATGTAATTCGACCTTGTGAAAGATAAATCGTCAGAGATATAAAGTTTTGTTGAAATGGTCATAACTTCGAAAGGATTGCATTATGAATCCTTTTAGGTTTGTTCATCATTAGTTTCATCGAAGTTTTTCTATGGACAAACTACAAGTTTGATTGGCCTCAAACAGTGAGATATGTTTCCTCGTAGAATAGTTATTCAACGCTTATTACCATATCTTGTAATGCATTTCGACGAAAAAATGCTTTACATGGTGCACAAGTGATTTGACTAAAATTATAGCCGCGAGCTAAATCACCACAAACACAACATTTTAGACTCGGTAGTTGAAACTCTTGTGTTGAATTATTCTCTGATAATATTTGTAGTTGAGATTGATTAGTCTAGGACCAAAACAAAAAAAAATAACTAATATTATATAAAAGTATTCAATATAGATTTAAATCATTTACTTCAGATGATGACAACATCATTTCTTCGATAATATCATCATGTAATATTATATATTGATCGAATTCATTTTGAGAATTAAAATCATCAATTAATGAAAATAAATCATCAAAATCAAACGATGATATATCATTCCATTGTTGGTTATCCGACATCATACGCCGTTATTGTCAATATCTATAATATTCAAATTATTTTTTCATGTTAATATAATTCTCTAGAAAAATAATTATAATGTTTCATTCTGTAATTGAATTCTTCAATAAATTTTATATTATATAAACATTACTTTTTTTTTTCATTTTCGTATGTTGTAATTTTATTTTAAATACGAACATGTAAATGTCTTTGCATGTTGTTTAGTTCCATTTGGATTTTTTTTTGAAATATAAACTAACTATTCGAATTTACAAATTAATATCAAAGTTTGTTTTGTATCCGTGTGTTATATGGTTATGTAACTATTAAAGAACATACGACACTCTTAGTGCTTTTTCTTTTTATTAGGCTCTGTCGATTGACAAATTTCACTAGAATCTTATGTGAAAAAAATCATTAATACGTGTTTTTCTTTCGTCATATATTTTGTACTCCGCATGAGCTATTTGCCCCCGAGATAAACAATATTGGTTCGGCATGAATGTGAATAGATGAATCATTAAAGAAAAGAAAAACAAGAAAGCAAGCAAACCGTAAAAAGCACGATAAAGGATTATCAACATCATCATAAAAAAAAAATGTGACGGTGCAGTAAATTAGGAAGATTATATTTTCTGATGGTTTTTCAACAGTCGCATTTTGATATGATTAGTCATCGGAACAACAAACGAGGGATTATGTGAAGTGTGCACTAAAAGAGTAAAAAAACAATGATAGAAATCGGTTAAATTTAATATCATATCACATCATGTAAAGCACTAGACACGATGCATATCGTTTTACTTATGCTGATTATACGTATTAAAAATTCATTCAAACTGAAAATAGACAAATAATTAGTCTTATGTTTTCTAACTCGTAAGAAAATCTTCTAAGATGGCAAGAACTTATTAGTAGATTTCTTCTGTAGGATCATAATTATCAAGTAAAATCATATTTTTAAATTTAAAGTTAAAGCTTTCCCAAAAACATATTTAGTATACACTAGATTTCATGAATCACTACTTGAACGAATTCGAGTATTTTCTTACAAAAGAAATAGATAAACAAAATCAATTGTTGTGAAATATATTCATGTTCAAAGATCTTCCATCTCAACACGATTTTCCTTTACAACTGAAATCTTTTAATGATAATTTCAAATTTTTCCGAGGGGAATTTTAGTAGAGTCCATGATAATTGGTTCATGAAAAAAATATTCTAGAAATCTATAAAAATGAATAAAAGTTTTACTTTGAATACAAAAAAATACTAGTTCATAAATTATTTGTACACCTTCTAATTTGTGTGTGTGTGGGTGTAGGACTTCTTCCACGCTTCATATACTGACATGTACATCCAACTCCCACACACCATACCTCTAGTGCATATTATGCATTCATCAAAGATAAATCGTCCTATTCAGTGTCATGTACACATTGAGAGAGGTATAAGTTAATGTAAAACATTGTTCTTTAAAATATACTTTATCTTTTACTGGGCTCAGAGATTTTCTTTCGCTGTGAATTCGAAAATTGATGCTTTGAACAAACGTTATCCCTTGATTCTCTTTCTAATTCATTATTGACGATTAATTTTTTCTGCTGTGGTCGTTATAATATTTCAAATCTTTAAAAAAAAATGCTAATCCTGCAAAATATTCATTTTTCAGTAATTTTCTCTAAGAAGATGGAGCATCCTGTTGAAGATTGAAAAATAATTAATATAGATGGGGGTCATGAAATTTTGCCGTCATATTTGAATTAGCATGTTCTCAACTGGCAACGCTTAACATCGATGTGATGTGAAGTCATTTCTAATTTCGGCAACAACGCTTAAATTAACATAAAAAATGCGGAAACTTCGGATTTAAATCCGAGAGTTATGTGTACTTCAAAAAGTGAATCATACAAATCAATCATCCTAGACTATCTGAATATCAAAATTATACTGGGAAATCTACCATTTAAAATGTTGATTTATATTGCACGTTGCCAAACCAATATGACAAGGGACCGAATACAGCTCAACTTTCAACTCTGCACCTTGATTTACCCTAAGAAAGTCGTTTTTCCTAGAACTTCATTTCTATTGGTCACTGCACAACTGATAGTATTTCGATGGAAGTGCAGTATACATTCGAGTTCTTCATATCTGAAAACCTCGAAGTATCATCAGTGTGACCGGAAGATAAAGCTCTATTTGTGGATCCATTAGATCGTGGACCAAAATCTAACCTAGTTCTCTTTAATTATCTTTGTGATAGGTTAGTCAACGTTCTTGGTTCTTTATGTTTTATATATCATTTTGTAGTTCTTGAAATTTTCTATCGAATTGTATATAATAGTTGAGGTTTTAATTCACTATGATAGGAAAAGTCTTTTACGAAAGTCGCGATGGATCTATTTTTCCACAGAAACCTATAGGGAAAAATGGGTATTTTTGCAATAACTCAGGAACGGCTCGACCGGTCTTTCTCATCTTCAAACTCGACCGAGCTATTGTCAAGACTAAGCTGTGTAGAAAGTTTCATCACAATCTGACTTTGCTGTCAAAAGTTATTATGCAAACAGCCAATCGGACGTTTGGACACATTGACTATTCTATAGTCTATGAACTTTTTGAGTACACAAAACTATGATTCGGTTCAAAACTAATATCAGATTCAGAACCCGCGTTAAAAACTGAGTCGATTTATATATGTTGTGAATAATTCAGAGAAAAAAATATTTTTTTTGAAAAAATCCCTTAACTCCCCCTCAGGGATGATCTGGTCAAAAATCACAATTTTTTCGATAACTCAGCCATTTCTTGACGGATCCTGCTCATCTTCGAACTCGACCGAGACATTGTTAAGACTGAACTGTGTAGAAAATTTCATCGCGATTGAACTCTCCTTTCGAAAGTTATCGTGTAAACGGACGGACGGACACACTGACCGATTTTAGTGGTGTATTCACTTTTTGAGTACACAAAAAGCTTGTTAGCGCAGCCCGTTTAGGGCTAAAATGTGGAATTCACGTATGTGTTTCAGCTTCAACGTACTAATATGAAATATGGAAAGTTTAAAATCAAGAATTTCTAAAGTTTCTAATTTTCTGACAGACGCTCATACTTTTCCTTTTCATTGTTTCTATTCGTTCAGCATTTTTCATTTTTCACAATTTTTTTTCTCTTAAATCCATTGTTTAATCCTGATTGTTAAGGTCTGTAATGGTGAGGACGAGCAAGAGTTTCGAAACCTCGAATTTAAGCCCTATACTCACTTTTTTATCCAAAAATATACTTGAGTTTCACAAAATCAGTTGCTTTTATACACTTTTTTCAACAAATGGAAAACTCAATTATTTCGAGAGTTGAATAGATTTTATGCTTAAGTATTGCGTCTGAAGGTTGCATAAAATACGACTTATCTTTCACAAAACGCTTTAAGTTTTGATTGTTACTAATAGAAATTTTTTGAGACAAAGACTGATCAAAACGTATTTTCATTTTTCATTATTCAATTGGATAAGAAGTGGTAATAAAGAATTATTATGGCTTTAAAACAAAAAACAAATATCAATGAAACTTTAATGTGTGCTATACAGGAACAAAATAACCATTTACCTTGCAGATAAATAAATAGATTCAGAGAAAAATGAGAATTTTATTCGTATTTATCTTCTATCAAGAAGGGTATTGTAGCAGTAAATGAATATACTTAAAACATAATGTGAAAATTCTAAGAACGAAATAAATGAAATTCGCATCTGTCTACTTTTCATGATATTAATGTTTTCTGGAATTGCTTTTTTTCATACTTTTTAGGTTCAACAACTCGTTCATCTACAAAAGAAATGCAACAAGTCGAACATGTAGTATCTTCTGCAAGTAATAAAACTTTAAACGTGAAGAATTCATTTATCTTTTATTTCCATCCATTAGATGCTTTTCAAGAAATTGTTGATTCTTTTGCTCATGATAGAATTTATTTACAAACAACATGTTTGAACACAAGTGAATCAACTGATGTGTTTCAACACATGAATGTGTCATCAGTAATTGAACGTTCTGATGGTGAGATATTCTACATTTTATTTTTACGACAACTTCAAGTTGTATTTAGAAGTATTAGTGGGAAATAATGAAAAAATATTAGACGATAATCAACTTCATAAAAATATCATTCATGATTATTTATCGGACGTAACCAAACGAGCGGGTGATCTCGTCAGTGCAACTGATGTAACAATGATTGATCCAACTATAGATCAAAATAGAACAAGTAAAATATACGAATATTACATAACGTATATTATCTCTGTGAATTATAGTTTATTCAACCGAAATTTCAACAAGATTTACAACTTCGAATGATTATATGATACCAGAAAATATGAAAATTTTATGTAAAAGAATCTTGTTATCAGATTCTACTATTTTGTCTAGCACAAAATTAAATAAGGTATGCAAAACAAACATGGTTGATGTACATAAAGCTTGTAATTTATTCATTGAAAATGAACTTTTATCACTTGAAACAAAAATGATGGCAAAAAAATTTACTTATTATGAATCTTATATGAAAAAAATTCCACAAAATAAATCACAGTTGGTTGATTTTTCTCTCACATTGGCCAAATTTGGAGTTTTTGATATTAACGTGTATTATGAAACATTAAAAACTAGTAAGTTTTATACTTTTAAAATTGATAAATAGCTAGACATGATGAATGATTCTTTTCATATTTTTCAAAAAAAAGGCTTTCTGTGCCTATTTGAATGAATTAAAATATTTTTTATGAATTTTTTTTATGTAATATACACAATTTGAGAAAAAAAATCACAGTTTAGCATGAACCAAATATGTGTCATGCATTTTTTTAAATTTATAAAAATTCTAGTCAAATTTTTTCTTATAAGTTTCTATTGTTTATTTAACCCACATCAAACAAATATTCTTCTCTTCTATACGCACACATAGCAACAACATTTAGTTACTATCTATACATTATGCTGAGTTTTTTAATAAAAA